AGTGGGAATTGAAGTGATAAGCATCTTGCAGAACTAATCCCATTATAGCTCAATTCTGTAAGATCTGCATTTCCTGAAGCACCCACAGAAAAGAATGATACTCAACCTCTATTTAACATTTCTAACACCGTTCCTTAGATGATGGCACAAGAGATTAGCGGCTCAGACGCCAACAGCAAAGTGCTGGTCAGTGCAGTGGACACAGTTTGCTTCCTACTGCAGTACTCTATTTTGGGCAGCAGTTTTCTCTCACAAGCTACATGGGCATATTCTAACTCATGGTTCCACTTAGCACAGCTACTTCCAGACCAATCAGAATTATACTTCATTGTAGCTTAGCTGTTTGTAGCTAAGTAAGAAAACCAAGAAAGTTTGGGGAATTCCTACTTACTGAGGATGCAAAACTCTTGAATCCCTCATGCTCGGTTCCTGTTGAATAGTCCTTGAAGGGAAGATACATAAAGTCGTAACAACACTTCACAAGACTTTTCAGACATCTGATGTTTAGATATTTTAAATTAAAGGCTGACACTAGCAAGCTCTTTAAAATGCCAGACTTTTCCCTTCTGTTAGTATCAGATCACAACCATGAGACAATTAAAGAAGAATCTTTGTCTGTCCACGCCTTGCTTGGCTCTACTCTGGCCCTAGTCTGGTTATCTTTTTGTCCCAGCTGCACAGTGGTTTCTGACTTACGTGATGCACTACATGTGCCTCAGCGGTATTGTTCTCCTTGAATATGTCACCTGCCCAGTTAGCTTGATTTCACAGCTGTGTATTGGTTTTCATCTTTGTCCTGATCAATTAGCAGCAGAGAGCACTAAGTAGAAACAAGTGATCCAACTACAGTTCTTTGGCTAGGTTGATATGCTTAAGGCAGCACAAAAAATAGAAACGGCAGCGCTGAAGCTGCTGAAAGGCTTTTCCAAAGCTACACACGATTTCTAATGAATACTCAAGAAGCACCAAATTCACAAAATTAAGTAGTTAACATTCCCTAAAGACAACACCTGGACTCAAGCGGTAAAAAAGGTTCTTCTTACAGCCTGATTCGACACAGAGCAATTCTACAGTCCTCTAGACATCGCCCTTTCCATTTCTGCAACACTGCACATTGATTTTGTACCAATTTAATGGTGTGTTCAGGATACTCAGCATCTCTGAAGTGGTTATACCCTCCCTCACACACACCCTACAAAACCATGCTCCAAGTTTTGACTGGAACAGGACTGCAGAACTTAGCCTAAGGCACTTTACACATCATATAGCCAGATGTGTGCTGTACACTTCATCAGAATCACTTCCCCAAGCCCCATAACCTTCAGCCACAAAGGAACATGTTTGTACAGGAAGCTTAAAATAAAAAGGTTAAGAAGAAACACTGAGTTAAAAGTTTTATTCATTCAACATCTCACATTACAAATATTTAAAAATTATATGCATACTGGTATAAATAGTCATTTGCAAACTATTTAATAACATTAATTTTCACTAGCACTTCAACAAATGAACTCTTTAAAAAAAGTAACTTGTGTTATATAACTTAGAGTAGAACATACAAAAATATGAACTTAAACGTGAAAATGACTTTAATAAAAAATGAATTACCCTTATTTAAAATGCTATAATAAATACTACAACCTCCCCATACACAGTAAAAACTATATGGAAATTCAGCCAAGTAGTACATTAACTGACATACTTAAATAACTTTTCCTTCTGATAATATGAGCAATACATCGGGGGAAAAACATATTAGGGATTAGTAAAAACTAGACACCCACTTGCTAAAAGTTTCACTTCCAAAAAATATAACAAAAAATCTGATGAAAATTATAAAAACTAATTATACTTTAAAATTTAAAAATATAAAAAATAAAACAGTTGAATACAATATTGTCCCAATTCTTACAATGCTATCACAGTAGCTTTAAAATAAGATAATAAAATAAAGCAAATGACCAAAACCTTTTATTCCATTTTTTTTTAAAAATAATCTCAAATTTACATTAGTAGAAAGATTGATTTCTGATTCTTATCTTTAGAAACACCAGCAAGAAAGAGGCTTTACTAGAACAGTAGAAAATGACATTTTTAAATGTCTGCAATTAAAAACAAAGAATTACACTGCAAAGATCTTCCAGAAGTCTGAAATAGGTATTGCACATAACTTGAAGTTAACTTGCCACAATTCATCACATTCAAGTTTTAAATCACCTTTTAACAGAAGGTTTTAACTCTTCAAAAACAAAAGGGGTGAATTATCAAGTCTTTCCAACAGCATCCTTATAAAACGCTAAATTCATTCACTGCAAGTTTTAAATTTGCATTCTGCAGAGGTCTGTGTATGGAGAAGTATATACTATACCAAAAAGCACAGGGCAGTGGGGGTTCCTTTACATATAAAATAATCAGAAACACTTTATTTTACATTGCAAAAATAACCATGTAATTACTCTGTAACTACATTGTAAATACATGGCCAGTGCCATGCTAGTGTGATAAAACTACATGCTTATTAACCCCTTTGCAAATTGAAGTGATACCCTAAGACTGGTAACCTAATTACATGTTAATTATGTTTGGAGCTACATGGTAACCCCAACTACAAATCCCATGTAACCAGAAGGACATGTAATCACTATTTAAGTACAGAGTAACGTATATAATTGTTTATGCCCTGTAAATCGAAGTGTAACCAAATAATCTGTAAACACGCTTGTCACACAATCACAAGTGAATATTAGTAGAATAACAATTTCTTACATTAGTCATGCATACTAACATTACATGCCTGCCACTTAGCAGGCTCTCTTTTATTCTTTAAATATAATTTAAAAGAGCAGACACATTTCTGCATCAAACACCTAACATCAATTTTTTATAATATTAAAAATGGCTAAACATTCACCAAAAACGTCTGCATTTGTGTATAATTTTTAAAAACTTAGTAAGAAGCGGTAGACAATTTTGATGTTTCTTTACTTTTAAATTTCTACACTATATTTATGCATTTAAATTTCATGGGTCTAAAGACAGTGTCATTTGTCACTTTCATGCTTTTCTTCTTTAATTCTCAACTTTACATATACTATTTCTTAAATTATATGTACACCAAATACCTGGTGCTGGGCTAAGATGTTTAAGCAACATGCTTTCTTTTCTCTGCAGATTCTAAAATAGCATTGCCAGTGCACAACATCCATAATTCAAAATGTATGCAGAGCACTGAAATGTATAAAAAGCAGAATATAAGAAAATAAAATTTATTAAAATTATTTATATTAAAAAATGAAGTATATGAAGATCTCTCAGTAATAAAAGTACAAAAAGCTACTCTTTGCAATATGAAAAATTGAGGTATTGCATAAAGAGATATCCCGTCAGTGAAAAGTGTGCCTAAAAATGCTCACTGTTGGAAAAACAAGATATACAAAAGTAGTGCATAACAAATATACATTATGTGCATGACAAAATAAGTTAGCTACAAAAACACTGTACCGAAATTCAGCAGGTCATGTACAAAGGGAAAATTATTATTCAAAGCTAGTTCTCAAACAGTGTTATTTCTTGTAATGGTAACCCATCTCACCTGTTTACTGGGTAGGATCGGCACAATAGCACACCCCAAGCCACCTACAAGCATTAAAAAAATTAAAGGAACATTCCAACTATAATTATGTACTTCAGAGAAAAAAAAGTCCCTGACAATCTACACAAGAGCACTCTGCATTTGCATTACTGTTGTCAATATTTTCAGGGATTTCATTAAAAGCAGCTCCCTTTCTATACTTGACTAGTAGACAGCAAATGTCTCCATTTTGACCTTTGGAACTTGGTAAGGTATAGTTCATTAAAGCCTGTATTGAAAATAAAAACTGCTTCTCATAAAGATAATCTGGGCTGGGGGATCGGGATGAGGGGGGCCGACAAAGGCTTTTAAGGGAGCAGATGTTTTCCAAGCAGTGCTGAGGCAAGTCTTTGGTTTGAGAGAATCTAGGATGGTACCATGCCACTCATGCAGTTCAGAAGATTGCCACTAAATTTGTTTGTTTGCACACTGCTAAATAGTCATTTGAGAAGTTGGCCAGGGCATTAGTTCAAAAGTAATAAAAATAATTTTCAGAACTACTCCTTCATTCAACTATTTCAAACTAAACCCCTGCACCCACTCTTTATCATTCAATTAACATGTACTGTGTTAATGCTTCTCAAGGTAGAACTTATTTATAATAAAGCAGGCATTAACTTAGCAATGTTGGCACTTCAAATCCCTGTGTTTCTTTATTTCCCCATATTAACTTCTGAAGAGGTGGAATCTTAGTTGGGATTCTTTCTACAGGAAGAGTAAGAAAGGCATTTGCATACTTGCACCTTTTCATGCACAAATTCAGAAAACAGTGCAAAACAAGACTTGGAAACTACTTAGGTTCATGCCTTCTGTTACAACTAAGTTAGAGGGTATTTAAAACTAACTCTGCATCCAAGATGGGAAACGAATAAGCAGCCAATTTTAGTTTGTGTGACACAATGGAATATCAAAACTTGAGTAAAAATCAGTGATATCCTTGAGGTATCTTTAGGTTTTCTACTTTTTCATGTCAAAATGGAGAGCAAAGGCTGGCCCCTGATGAATGTTAGTATATTAGGATATAGAGTTATATATAGCCATCAAAAATAAAATCTATATATTTATCCTTCAGGAGAGGAAATGCCAGTTAACTAGTTGTCATTACTCTAGCTTTGGTAGGATTTCTAGGGCTGTAACCAGACAATTCTCTTAAAGAAAAAAAAAAAGTGCACTCCCCCCTCAGTAGTAACTTTACTCAACTTTTACATTCAGGAATTCTTAAAATGTAATCATTTTGATGAAAATATAGTAAGCTCTGCCTATCTCATTAGTAATTTGGATGTGGGTGGTAGTCAGAGGCACGGTCAGATACATACCGAGCTAAAACTTCAGCCTCAAAACCCTTAACAGACTTTTAAAAAAGATCATTATTATAATGCTGCTTCAATTTTGCTCATGCATTTTTGTTGCTTTAAACATGCTCTTTCCTGTTGGCAGGTAAATGCTAACTTCATCTGTTGCTGGAAAAATCCAAAGTCGAAACAAAAAGAGAGGCAAAAACCAGGCTTCCCCGGGGGAAAAGTGTCAGAACAGACTGATAGTGTTATTGTTACACGGTTATTTTAATAAAAGTATTCTTACGTTCTTTATTAACAATAATTTAATTAAAAAACCAAAATACTCTATCATTTCAATTATCTTCTCTTAATATTTTTCTCTCCTCTAAGAAAATGTTGCATGAAATTAAGTGTTCTCTCGGTAGTAAAGACAAGAGAATGCAACTCACTTGCAACATGTTATCAATACGAAAAGGAGTTCCCAATACAGTTTTCAATGACAAGATTCTACAAAATACCCATATTATAGGTCATTCTTCCATTATACTATTGTTAAATTACAGACTACTACAAAAGGACATGCTATCTTGAATAAGAGAAAGGGCAGGGTGGGGTAGGGACAATCAGGATAACAGAAGAGTGCACTTAATTTGAGGCCTGCATATGAGCACTGCAGTGATCATTTAGTTCCAGCGGAATGAAATATGTCTTGGGCGATCTCCTCCCTCCTTCACCAGGGGCTTGTGGAATTCCCTGCCAGCGCGTGAATGGATAGCAGCCCAGCAATATTCACAGTAATACTGCAGACAGGTAACATTAGCACAGAAAAATGGAGCAAATTTTCCACCGCAACGGGCCCCCTGACATTCATCACAAAGCTGATCATCCAAGACATATGGCTTAACTTCCACCTGTATTCAGAAAATGAGAAAAAAGTTTACAATTCTTAATAACAATGTAGATAATGACAATTCCACACTATTTACTATCTGTGTTCTAGCAGGACTGCGATCGCAGTTCCGTAGTAGGGAACATCACACTCAGGAATTTTCCCCCTCATTACACATGATAATCATCATCAAGCACCAAAAACTACAGGTACTTAACTTCAGAACAATCCTGCTCCTGCTGTCCTCCTTAATCCTTAAAAAAACCCCAGAAACCAATGCTGACCATCAGTATCAGTATCACACATGCTGTCATTGATTTACAGAAAGGGCCAATCAACCTGTTGTTACAGAACTGATACACAGACTCATATCAAAACCCTGGAGAATTCTGGGGTTTTATTTTTAAGGATGGTGATGCACAATTAAGCTCCTACCCTTTCAGGTAGGAATGTAAACTGTTTACACAACACTAACTGCAGATTAAATATGCATGTGGTCTGCAAATTTCAATGTCTGAATTTCCAACTTCAAAAAATTTCATTTATCATCTTAATACACAGCACATTTCTGTTTTCTTTTTCTGTGGCTTAGTCCTCTCAACAAAAGGAAATCTACCTAATCTTGCTGGGATCAAATGAGAAGCTTAAAATGGGACTGATGGCCACCTACGCTGTTGACATTAAGGGCCAGATGATGAGCAGTAATTCAGTACAGCAGACAAGAAAGGAGAAGAAAAATTTCTTCAAGTTCTTAACTGATAATGACTCACAGGAACTTAGCAGCTGGTGCTCCAAGGATACATCTACACTGCAACATCTGCAGGCTACTAGCTTTTAATCTAGGCATTTGCATACCAAAACCAAGCCTGCTGTACTGTGGGCTACAAAACCCTGCTCACAGCACTCCAGAGCGCTTTCTCTGTGACAGCAAGGCAAAGCTTGCTGCTCACAGTATCCAAGCTGGCTAGAGCACAGCTCGTTTAGACATGCCTATGTGTTTAAATCACAACTGCAGCACTGCCATCCCCTAAAGGCTCAGTTTCACCTCAAAACCAGTAATCACCTCCACTCCCATTCCTTTGCTCCACAGAACTGTGAAAGGTCCATGTGACATATCAGAAGCGCAACACAAAACTTCATATTAAATACGTATAGGTACAAGGTCCTGTTCTAGAAGTGTTTGTGAGCCTTCTCCGAAGCTCACTTAATTAGGCGTTTTCACAGGCATTTCCAAATACCCAGAATGTGACTGTTGTCTCTACTGTTAACCTGTTATCTCTGCATCTGGCTTAGGGATGCTCCTTTCTGTATGTCACAAACCTCAGATGTATGCCAGCTCATTCCACTAAGGACATTCACAAGCTCCTGTGTTTTTAAACTTAACCAATTTTATCACAGTCCAGACAGGGCACTGCAGTAGTTCGATGCCATCTGTGCTTATAATACATATAAACTACTTGGAGACAGTACAGCAGCCTTTTTTTGGCCTCAGTTTTTCTCCTCTTCCACTGCTAGAGTTCTGTTTCTCAAACACCCCTCCCATGCCAACTCAGAAGAATGAAACTGTAAAAGAGCAGAGGCAGACAAATATTCCTACCACCACATTCTCCCTTCATCACCTAGTTTGCTATGTAGTTTGAGGTTGGGTATTCATTGACGAGTGTCGTCTTCTACAAGTGCTAAGAGGAGAACCTACAAATATGCTATGCATGCCTCCTTAACATGGCAATTCTGCTGCTCTATTATGTCTACTCAGACATATTCAGAAGCCAAACTACAGCACAGGTAATTATACCTCTGCTTGCTTTAGCCTGTTACTGCGGCACTGGTTTTTGTGCAAGTCTGCAACCCATAGGTAATAGTCAGTCCTCAGCACATTTATTCCATGTGTGCTTAAGTGCATGTGCCAAATATGGCCTGCAATTATTATTTGTGCTGGGTGTATCGAGGTTGCCCAACTATAGAGAAATAGTTTAAATTATAGCAACTTCATGAGGCACACTTAGGGTGGCAGCACTCATCAAAAGCTCTGCAGTGGTCGGTGCTGCAGGCCACTGAGCTTTTAATTTGCTTTATCTCTTTGACCGGCACACCCTTTAGCAGCACCTCCTTGCCTAATTTTACAGGAAATCCCTTCTTGTTACTAATTTTATTTGTATTTTTACAGAAAAACTTGATTAGAAAAAATTGTTAATAAAAGTAGTATTGCCACTGTTGCACTTTTATATCTCTCATGCACCCAGCCCCTCTTATACTGAATCCTCTGAGCACTTATCTCCCCACATTTCTTCTTAACTACACACAAAATGGGGAAATAAGGAGGACTGAGAGGAGAGAAGGAAGGGGAAATAGGTTGCAAAATCTTTGATAGAGTTCACAAGTACTTACTTAAATTTGTAGTCCCACCAGCTTCAATGGACCTATTCACCCAAACGTCTGCTTATGCAAGCAGAAGTTGCACAAGGGCAGCCCAAATTATTTGTTCAAAGCCGTACAGAACTTATTTCATAGCCAAGATTAGAACAAAGACATTCCGATTCACAGGCCCACAGTCAAATTGTTGTTACAATTCTTCTACCCAAGCGTTATAGCCAAAGCAGAAATGAAATGATAATCAGCTAATCAGTCAAGTTTGGGGGTTTTCCTCTGTAGTAATTATAAAATTAAGATTAAAAATGACAGTCACGCAAGAAAAATCCAGAGACAAAGCATGAATTAGACAGAACAGTAGATGTAAGGATCTGAGCTTCTGAAAACTGTGGCGCAAAGATCACTGTAATTGGCAAAGTCACATTTTATATAGATTGGGGGCAGAGGCAAGCAAACTGCAGATACATTTGGCATATTCCTTTAATTCATAATAATAAAGGAATAAAATAACCAGACACAGCATTTACGTAAGCGGTGGAGGACGACTGTGAGGCTGTAATGCACACTGACAAGTTTATAATGCATTACTATGATGCTCTTTAGGAACACCCAGCACACAATGTGTAACACTAGGGCCAGATTCTGCCCACTGTTTCAAAAAGATGCAGAACAGCAGTAAGAACTGCTCCATCCTTGGCAGATACCTCACTGCCTGACATTATACAAACAGTACCAGTGCAAATACTTGCAGTGGGAGTATATGACGAGTGTGATATTCTTATAAAAGGGCAAGGCAGCTAACACGCTTCCCATTATGCTAAGCAATTTGAGAAAGTCTGCTTCACAGTTGCCTCCTACGTTCCAGAAGCAACAGCTCTGTACCACTCCTTCATTTTTATTCTGTGTTGTATCTAAGTGGCACAATCTAGCCCTAAATATGCAATTAATCTGATATAACATTTACAGTCTTCACAATGACACACATTTACATGGAAAAGCATTTCTAGAGAAAGCACTGAACAAAAATAGAATATGCTTGAAGACCTTACCCGTTTATCTATCTCTCCATGCTGCAGCTGAACAAAGCGAGCACTGATAGCAGCTATGTAACTCTGTTGATTAGAAAATGCAACCCGCCCAGCTCCTTTTGGGTACTTCAGCTCAGGGTCTGTGTCAATTCCAGCATAGCACACTCCTCCATACAGCCGATCCATTATCATTGCAAGTTCCACTAAACCAGAAAGGAAAATGGAACAGTGGTGTAAACTTGGTAATTTTTTTTCTAAAAGCATCTAAGAAAATGGTCCATTTGTATTCATGTCCCCCACAGTAAGTATCAAGAACACTTCATACTTCCCTTGCTGAATAACTTCTTTCCGCTGTTCCTCCCCAAATCAGACTGCATATTCAACATGCCCAGTGCTGCGCAACACACAGTGTACCTGCTCGTAAAGGCCGAGGAACACCACCAACAAAAATTGTTTTTCGTGGGTCAAGAGGCTGTGAACCATCCATAACAAAATCACTATCACTAAGGTTCCAAGGCCGGATCTGAACCTATGGACAAAAAGCCTTTTTGTTAAACCATTCACAATTCAAAGTATCTCAGTAATATAAATTAAAACAGTATCCTACAAAGAAGAAAACTTCTTAAACAGCTGCACTTTCTGAACTCGTTTTCTACTCATTCAGCAATCATTTCTCAAAATGAAACGGTAGTAAGCTCTGTTAAGACAGACCACTTGATCATACTAAATTTCACCACTTCCTTGTTACCCAAATTTCTGGGAAAAAACTCACCCTCTACTTACACATTTACTTAATCATGACTGAACTGTGCTGCATGAACCACATTGGTGTGTACATATCTATGCTATTTGTGTTGTTCTAGCCGCGTGTAAGCACTAGACTAGCGTTATCTCAATGCAACAGGCTCCAGTGCGCAGAGTTGCGTGTTTATTTACTGTGCAAAACTAGCAGCTTTGTATTTGCCTACAGCTGGCCAAATCTGAAGTACGGGAATATAGCAGAAGTCCCTCCAACTATAAAGAGACTATAAAGAGCCCCACAACCATTTGTACTAATAATTTACAGTTCACTGCCATGTTACATTTTTTTTTTTAAATTTGTTTCTGTCAAAACAGGTTACATGCAACACTCCGAAAATATGAATTCTACATTTTATTCAACAATAAGCATAAAATACCTGTCTAGAAATATATTTATTACATCAGCAATGGTGAAATTTAGCAAACCTTTTTCTAACAAAAAGATGAATTGTAACTAGACTAAAAAACTTCATAATGTCTAGTTTAAAAATAACTAAGTTGGTCTTCTCTTTGAGAACTTAATTTGACACCTTAAAGAAATTTAAACATTAGCACTCTGAAGACAGAATAAAGGAAAAAAGGCATCTGAAGAGAACAATTTCTGGTTAGCATACAGGAATTGTGCAGGCCCTGACAATTCTACCTACTGGTTTGTCTTTGATAGTGGGGCTGGAAACACAAAGATAGAGCTTTCCATCCTCTTCAATACATGCATCAATCAGTGCCTGTACAGAGCTTTCATCTTGGAACAGCAAAAATGCGTATCCTACAAAAGGGAAAACAAACACATAACTTCTTTTGTCTATCTGCCTATAGGATAATAATTTAACCCACAATTATGCTTGGCACCATGTCATCATGCCACCATACAGTAAGGGACAAACTTTAAGATGCTCTCACACATTACCAACCCAGCCTTCTGCAAGTCCTCTGCAGAGACATGAAGGAAAGCAGGGAGCTTGCTCATCAGCACACTCTCTCCTCATTTCCTTTGAAAAGGATAAGCCAGCAGTATGAACTGAACAAAAGCCACAGCTGTAGAGGCAAACCTGCCAAGATGGTTGTGAATATAAGGTACAAATCCTTCCCAGCTTCTGTGGAGGGCATTTAGTCCCTTTAAAGAGGACTAGTCTTGACTATTATTACAAAAATTAAGAACAATAGGGGGGAGAAAAAGGAAAATGGAATAAAGTAAAACCAGGAAGTTAAGGAAGAATTATTTTAGTGCAGAATAATTGCAAAGCCACATTCTAAATTCCACCAGTTTATAACAGTCCCAAGGATTCAACTTCTTCCCCCCTAAACATTGGGTCATTGCCACAAAAATCTTGTCTAAAATGGAGCCTTATCAAGAAAAATTATTCTAAAACGCTCATATGTTACTGGTTATCAGATATTTACCTTTAGGAGGAAAATAAGATTTACTCTCTGCCTTGTGTGGCCAGTCTACAATCAAAGGTCCAAAGCGACGAAAACTAGCAGTGATCTCATCTGTAAAGAGAGAATGGAAAAAGCACAAATTGAAAACAAAATAAATTGAATGGCAGACATTTGAAGAACACCAATTTCAGGTACCTTCATCCTATAAACAAACATTCTGTCACCCTAAAGGTTCTGCAGCCCATAGCAATGCTTACTAGCTAAGGAGAATCTTTATGACAAGTCATAAACACACATTAGTAAACAAGACAGGTCAAAGATCAAGCTTTTCTTTCTACTGATGATTGTAAATAAAAGCTTGTAACCCACTAATTCACAGAAAAGGAGTCACTGCATCTATACAGCTGTTAACAACACAGCTTCAACTATTCTCCCACAAAGAGTTGAGAGACAATTTGCTAACTTGTTAGTAAGCAATCTTCCAATATGCCTTATAATTGCAGAAAGACTGAAAAAAAAAAAAATGGAGGGACTATCACAAGACCCAGCCATGTCTGTTCATATCACATGCCAGTGCCACATGTGCAAACACTATCTGAGTTTGACCTCAAACTAACAGAGTAAAGTTGCAGGATATAGTTATGTAATTTTATAGGAGAGATGGCAAAAACGTATTACTATATCAAGAAGCAATTCTTGCATCCGTTTCAATTCTGCCTTTGACCTCAAATTACTGGTATAAATATGCATATGCTAGTCCCATAGAAGTCTTCCAGTTGCAATTCTGTTGTTCTTGAAATTCAGTGATTATTCCCCTTTCCTTCTCCACAAGCACACTTGAACCATCACTAGTTAAAGTTCTCTGGACAAGAATTTTTCATTAAAAAATTGAAACAAAAAGAACAAACTTCACATTGATGGAGTGCCATCTAAATTGGCACACAGCTCAGCTGTATTCTGTTTATGGTATTACAGGGCTTTCTATACTAGCATGCTGCTGGGGGTTCCTAATACACAATTTAGAGGATTTGCCCCATCCTCAAATTTGGTTAGAAACCTGAAAAGGTGTTACTAATTATGTCTTTTTCAGCTTGTTTACACTCTTTGATGACAAGGTTAATGAAATAGCAACTGACAATCCACTGTACTGACAGCTGCTCTGTGCACTACAGCTCATCAGGAACATACACAGCAATGGTAGTGTGACATGGTTACATGCTGATGAAGATAAAAACCAAGGAGAACAATACTTACTACATATCTATTCTTAAAATAGATCTCCATTCAGAACAGCACTTAACACAAATTTAATGTTAAAGCACATACATAAAATGCTTTCTAGAAACAGGATCAGAAAAATGTCAAAAATTCAGATGTGATGTAGATTTTAAATTGTATACTCCTTATTCTAATTCACACTCAAGTATTTAACTTGAGTCAGAGCACTGACAGAAGCAACTCTGAAAAATTCAAGCTACCCTCCTAGCACAGGTTTAGGAAAGGTCCTGTTCTTCAATAGCTGGGGTCCAAACTATTCATGTGCTCATCTGCTTTTTAGAACAACAAAGGTGACGAAGTTAAAAAACAAACAAAACCCCAAGAACAACAAAGAAAGAGAGACTATAAGATCATTTTTCCTCTTGTAAACACCATGTTATATTTGACCTTTTAATAATAAAGTAGCTCTTATGTTTGACATGAAAGTTCAGGCTGTCATGTCACCGTACTACACACTGCAGTGCATTACAATCACTCTCCCTGACACAAAAAGTGGGTATTAAAACGATTCTGTGATTAAGAAAAAGCAACTTTTCCGATTTACAGTTGCTGTAGTTCTTTTAACCACTATCCCAGCATGCTCATACATACAGAATACAGAACGCTGGTGAAATGAAGCTCCACAATAGTTGTGCATGTTTTTGTTTTTTAAATAACTGCAGTATTCTGTCACCTTGGGCTGTATGAGCGATCCACCACAAATTCCTGATTCTTCACTGCATGCAGCCACTCCTGTACAGATTCATTCCCGAGTCCTCACCATGCACACATTAGAAGCTACCACAGGACATAATCACTGCTGAAACCAACCTCTGAGAACTACACGTAAGCATCCAAATAAAGAGCTATGACTTACTATGCTATACAAACTTTATAAAACTACTAGCAATACTTTTCCTACTACTGGCTTCTGGTGCCTATAAAAGGATTGCAATGTATTTATGAGTTTCAACAGTTGACATTTACTTGTTTATGTTTGCACCACTATCCCTTTTTATCATTTTTATACTGTAAAAGTCAGTTAAATATGCGGTAACATGATTTTGTTCTTCAATAGCAGAACAATGCTATAGCCTAAACTACTTTGAATTATCTCACATTTGCCATGGACTGAAAGCGGTAAGGTGCAAAGATCCACTTACATATCAAAGCTTTTCTGTAGAGTTCGGAAAACATTCATTCATTACCTAACAGACAAAAGGTTTCACACCACAGTTTTGTCATTAAGCCAGAAGGAGATTTTCTGGATAGGATTTTCTGGGCGTACCTTCATCAATATCTGGTGGCAGTCCACCAACAAAGACTTTACGGGAATACCGTTCCACTCTTTCTCCATTCTGATGGGAGAAGCAGTGAGGTGATCCTAAACCACTGTGAAGAGTCTGATCCCCACGTCCATCATCCAAGAACCCGTCTTCCATCGGAAACAGTGAAGACTGACCTGAAGAGGGGGTTAAAAAAAAAAAGAAGGAAAAAAAACATACTAACAGAACAAAGCACATACTGTTTAAATAATTTTTAAAAATGCACTAGTTGCTGCATTAGCAGTAGAACTGTTTGCAACCTTCCCTTTTAATGACCAGTTATGTTCTCAATTTCATATGACCTTTATAGTTTTCAGTATCATTCAATAACTCAATTGCATTATTTCAGAGAAAAGGCTGCTAACTTCTTCATAACTGCACTACAACTAATGAAAATTTGAAACAAAACAGTATTTCTAATGGATGCTCAAGTTGACCATTTTCCATAATATTTCATGTTTCCAATTAGATTTCTTTTAAAAAGGTGTAAAACCAGAAGAGAACAGAAGCCAAATTTTTTTTCTGGGACTTTCCCAATAGCAGACATCACTAAAACCTAAGCCGTATATATCATTTTCCAGTGAACAGCCTCTTACAATGAGTAGCTACAATGTCACAATGCAGATGGGAAAACAAGGATTCTACCAGCTAAATATATTACACATTTAAATTACCTGATATCAAAACATATCATAAACCACCCACTTGTAAATAACAAAAATTTCCTGATAAAAAAACAGGAAGACCCACTGTAATTTACTGCAAATGAAGACTGAAAACTAGGCAATACTGTGTCATTCCTAGAAGCAAGTTTACATAGATGTTACAACAGAGTTTCGTTAATGGACTCACTCTAAGAGAAAATGTTGTAAGCATGCTTCCCCTCACAGCCCAATATTCTTCTATGATAATCCTTTATCATATATTTCCTTAATAATATTTATTACTTTTAAATAAGATTCTTTGATTTATAAATACAACTGTGTAATATCATAAATAGAGCACACAAGCTGATCTCTTCCATGAATTCACCCTTTCGTTACAGTGTTCAATATCTAGACAACAAACTGAATAGGCTTCTACTCATTTAAGGAGCATTTTAGGAATAAATAAATATACACAGGGAAAGTAAGCAAATAAATGAGGTGTGCTACAAGTTTTAGGATATATTTCCTTTTGCCTGTGATGCGAAATACTACGTCTGCTTTTTCAGAATTCATTACAACCTATCACAGCAATGTATTGGTAAGATTAATTTATCCTGCTCTTGCTTCCTTCCTTTGAAATAAATGTATTTAAAAAAAAAAAATCTTGAACACAGAAAATTTGACCAGGTCCAATATCCATGCAAAAATCAAACAGCTAACAAGTTGAAAGAAAAAGATACAATAAAATCCACAGTCCACAGAATTTACACGAATAAAAAACCCAGAAGGCTTGGTCAGCTTGCTGTATTTTAAATTTCAAGAATCTTTGTACACCTTTAATTAAAATAAAAATCTACTATAATCAGGCCTATTTCTGTAGCTAGGCAAACCTGGTTCCTACTACGATAAAAATATTTTAACATAGACTTAAACGTCATTTTGTTTTCCCCTAATGAACGGATGCACGTCTTTTGTTTCATCTCTTGAGACCCCAGTCCTGCAGGTATTTTTGGAAGGGAGCAATTCTCCATACCTAAACAACCTTTTCAGGTTCATCAGCATTACCACTGCTGTTAGATAATTCAGCATGCATGCTTGCAGGATCTGGTTCTTTAACCTAGCAGGCCAGGACGTATATTCACTATAGTCTATACTGCATCAAGAAAACCATCAGCACCCAAAAGAACCAAAATAAACTTCTCCAGCATTGGCATTCATAACATACAAACAAACACAGCAACACAGCCCTCCAGTGTAACAAATCATATAGATGATGTCCACTGTAAGGACTGTGATAATTTCAGCCTCAATAGTACTACTGTGGAGTACTACCTAACTTGGTTAAAATGTTTATTTATGGCATGCAGACTATGTACACTTATGTGAAACTGATGCTTTATAATCTTAAATTTTGGAGTTTGCCCTCTAGTAACAACTTAATGTTATTTCTCCTATGAGACATTGTCAACATTAGAAAATTAAATAGGAATATTGTTACCTCGCCTTCTCCCATATGTCCTTGCTGCATGTTAAATGAGAAAGAAAACAGCCTTTCAAACATTGTTATAAGGACCAAAAGACCTTGTTTTATCGCCTTTATACTAACTCAGCGATTCTCAAGCCTTTTCATACTCCAGGTCATTTAAAATGGTGTTCACAAGCTGACCCCCACCACCACCCACAATACCATGCCTTCCTTGCACCATCTCTGTTACTTATTGATATAACATGTTGATACGAGGCTGACAAAGTATATATGTATACTCAAAAAGACTTTTTGAAAACAATTTTAGTTCTGAATGTGCACATTTATTTTCAAATCTATTCCTTAATCCTCTGCGGGGTGTATGCCGATAAGTAAACAGATCTTTTCTCATGCACCAGGTCTCCTGATGCATTCTGCAACACACCATGCTCTCTACCTTGCCAAGTTCAAGCGTACTCTAACACTGATCTTCATCCGAACTGTAGGAAAAGCCCGAACACAAGGGAAGTGGAGGACTACTGTGCTAATTTCTGTTTTCAAATTAGGCTGCTATAAAAGCTTTGCACAACCCACAAAATCCTTGGTTAAATTATTACTGGCAAATCACCAGCTGAAAAACTTAAAGTCAAGGAGAAAATGTCTGGGCCACTAAAACTGCCTTTTGGACCTCCTGCAGTCTGTATACAGCAGTATAGATTCTCTCATACTAACTTAGTGCACTTCGCTGTAATTATTCAACAGCTACCCACTGCTTCCTACTTTTCATTTTCGAAAACAAATCAATTCTACCACTAAACAAATACAACATTTTTCTGTCCTGGCTTCCAGGACCCACTGTCAGAATACGGCCAAACTTTCTAATCAAACTTGCACATTCTTTCTCTTCGAATCTCATTAAAATCTGTGTCTGAAAGCAGGCCAACTGTTTTCAAAACTTGGTTTGTCCTGGCAAGTACTATGAGAAACTCTGAGCACATCATGCATTTTATTTTGCTTCCTCATTCAAAATTGAGGCTGACAATTAGTTTAAGCATTTAAATATTTGTAAACCACAACAGAACAAGAGTCGTTTCCTCTTTCAAAATAAAAATCGTATCAATCCAATTTACTTCATGATTATTTAACATCTGTAAGACCATTATACTTCTCCAATCTTTTGCTGATAGAGATACTCACAATGAACACCAAGAATACAAAATAACGAAGCCCCAGTCTTCAGACTGGAGCATACTCTCGAGCGTTCACACAGGTACTGGCTTTACAGGAGAATCTTGAAGGCTGAGGGCCTTTACAAATATAATTCTTCCAAGTTAATTTTGAATTTAGAAATCCAAGATGCTCATACAGTCCTCAAAGTAGAAAGTTTTTAAGAACTTGTCTTTCATGGAAAGCAATCACCAATCTTACTGCATTTCTGACAAAGCTCAGAAGCCTTTGCACATTTTAGAAAACATCAAGCACTTTGAAAAACAGCTCTGCCTATAAAGCCATAAAAATCTTGCTTGTGGTTTCTAAATTACTAACAAAACCACAAAAGCTCCTTCACTTGGTACACCCAGTCTTGGCAACAAAGCATGCAGCAGAGATACGATTCCCACTGCGGATCTCTGACCACAATTTAGGTCAGCAGACTCCTCACTGCTTTGCCACCTGTGTCACTCAAGGCAATAGGATTTTTCTCCTCTACCAGTACGGAAAAGAACAAAAAAAGCTCAGCCACCAGCTAGGAAGTGTTTCCAGTGCCAAACACTACTGAAGAGGTTTTAAGAACCAAATACTAAGATTTTTTTTTTTTCTTCTTAATTTGCTTCTTATTTTCTGCATTTGCTTCATCTAACCCATAAAATACCAACATTTGACATTTCAAAACATTTCTCAGGAGCCACAGTTTATAAACTACCCCATGCACCACAGATACAAACTTTCTCTGCTCATTGAATTCAGAGCTCATCATACACCATTAATTTCACACAATGTAATATATAACACTGAAACTAAAGAATGCTCTTTTGGCAGGCCAGGAAGACAGCTAACTGTGATTTACCAATTCTGTTTCCGGCTTTCATAATTTCATATTAAGAGAAGTCTTTGCTATGGGGGTACCCTAGCTAAGCTGCAACATAAATGAAGCCTTAAGGTAACTGCTACCAACCAGAGAAAAAGATTTAATTCTAAAGATCAGGATGCTTGCCTACCCGCCGCTGAGAAATGAGACAACTACAACGTTGGTTTGGATTCCTCAAATCTATTTTTCCTTTCCCCATTTCTTCAACATTTCAGATAATTGCATAAAGTGCCAAGGAGAGATTTACTAATCTCACAAGATATTTGAGCAAGAATTATGTTACAAAACCTAAAAAATATGAAGTGTTTATGCAACCGGTTCAACTGCTTATTAATAACCTATGCAGAAATATTTTTCCGATAAAATCAGTCTGAAATTTAAAATGCTATTAGCAGCTGCTTCAATTATTTTGTCGCCTCAGCCCTCCCTGCAATAGTCCTTTCTATGTAAGAAATAAAGCCATACAGTAACCCAATGATCTTTTGCAAAAATCTGCTGCTTTTACTGTCTTTCATTTTAAGGAACTTAATGAATAAGCAACCCACTCAAATTTTTATGTCTTCATTTGAGACACTTAATGGGCTCCTGGCCATCTCCCTCTCCCTCTTCTTCCTTTTTTTTTTTTTTAAAAAATCACATTTTTGTGTCTAATGTACCTCTAATTAAATGTTGCGAGCTTTCTTCTCTCTATAGGAAGCACCAAAAAGACTGTCAGCACGTTGTGTATAATCACACATGCAATTCTGTATAAAGTACACAGTTCCCAATGACAAAGATATTCTGCTGAGGAAGCATGAAAAATGTATGCAGGAGTCCTAAATCACTTAAATCCCAAACTTACTACAAGGTTGTCCTGCAAAAAACGTGCCCAGGCTGGGCACCTGGCGCTCTTTAATTGTTCTTGCTGCCCTACAATCTGCAGGATGGTAGCAATTTCAGGTGCATTTTGTGCCATTAACTGTGGAAGATTTACATAAAAAGGTCAGCTCAAGAGCAGACTGTTTAAAGCAAAGGGACCAGCAAGCAAGAGGATCCGTATCTCCTGTAAACGTCATCCCAACTTTCTAAGGCCACGTGTTACAACTAAGAGACTTATACAAGCATCCATAGTTAATACAAACATCACAAAATCCTGGAAGGGACAGAGCAACTGAATGCTCAAAGTTTATTATGGTTGTACCTTCATTCTCACTACCTTGCTATAGTTGTTTTAAGGCGTGTAAAGTCTAGGTTGATGTAATACCTGTCCAGTTCTGTATCTAATTTGTATCTTTAATCCAAGAGATCCTCAAGGCAGGGATTCTGTTCTTTACCTTGGCGCAGAGGCCGATATAGTAACGCACTGCAATCTTTTACATTAGTCATTGATAAGCTTACATTTCTTTCCTCTCAAGGATCAAACCAGACTAGCTTCATTAGTGAGTTCCAAGGAATTTCAGGTTTCTATGTGCATGAATCACTGAAGTTACCAGGGAAATATTTTTGAAATTTAAAAGGGACAAATATTCATGTTGACTTTTTACATAACCTGACCGTGAGAACAAGACAGACTCAATCACACCCTTCCACCAGGCATTAGCTCTACCACTGAGACAGCTTCCCACCATCCCGCTCCAGGAAAGCTAGGAAACTTACATCAATTTGCATATACTGTCATATTCCACACCAATCGTACAGGCTCTATGAAAAATATTCAAGCTGAACAAGATTTTGCTGAAACGATCCCAATTTCATAAGCTTTCATGAATGAAGTAATGATTTTAACTACTGCTTTTTAGGGACAAAAAGTGACAAACAAGAACCTGCAGTACAAACAAGCGAACCGCTACAGGGGAAATGGGCTACAACGCTTGCAGATGAAAGCAGTAAAGAGTAGAAGGGAAAATAAAGCCTCTGTACCATCATCAGCTATTTATTAAGTATTATATACATGGAGAAAAGTGTAAGAGTCCAGATTTTTAAAAAAAGGGGGATAACAAGGTTTTCTCTAAGACCATCTTGAAACCTCTCCATATTATTTAAAAAACTTCTAACTGTAGATGGTCATAGGTGGCCAGTTTCTTATGCTGGAAGGCAAATATGATCAATACAAAAGCTTAGTTTCAAACTTTCACTGAAACTGTTTACTCTGCTAGCCATTTTCTTCCCCTAAACAGAAGACAGGGAGATAATTTGGTGCTGGTCTGTCTTCTGTTTCACTTAGGACTTAGCTTTTAGAGAAACAGAAGTATCAAAGTTTCATGGGATTATTTCTCAATGTGAGCTAGGTATCCTTGAATCTATTACAGAAAATACTTATGCTTTCTTGAGTTTTATTTTTAAATGATAGAAAAATAATTGAAGTACAATCTGGTTTTGCCATTCCAACAGCAAAGCCTTATTTTTAAATTATTCTACACTAAACTATATTTTGTAATTGTAGCAAGACTGACAATGCTGTGTACAAGGCCATGAAAATATGAACTACAGTATTTTATTACCTTTTTTCCCCTACTACTCCCTGAGGGCAGGTAGGGTTGATTATAACTCAACAGTTAGATTTTATCATCACTTCATGTTTCACAATGCATTTCATATGTAATGCATGGACCACATGTTTCTAGTTTCTGCCACAGGTACATTTCACAAGAAGTTCTGTACAGTCATCTAAAGCTCAATTTCTGTAGTGAAGAATCTCATTGTATCCTTAACCAAACCAAAAGCAGAAAAATGAAAGTTATAAAAAACATCTATATTTAACCTACCTTTGGTTAAATTATCTCTGTATATGAAGGAGCAATTCAGAGACCAAGGCAGGCATTTTCAGAGAGGTATATATACTTTCTCAAATTAGAACATAAAGATCATATCTACCTATATGTATCTACACACAAAGGTTATTTCTTCCTATTTAAAAGAGCCCTACAACTTAAGTCTTAGATGACATTTTCAATAGAAAAGCAGACAGTGTTACAGTGTGTTGCATGGCAGGCAAAAAAGGACTGCTTTTTATGCATTCCTCCGTGGTTTTAGTTCTAAAATATTAAGGACAAAAGGATTAGGCCACAATTCCATGACTGTTAATGTAAGACATGTGCACGTGTGCAAAAATTTTGCCAGTTCAAGCACATAATCTCACTTCCGTCAAATTATCCTGAGCACATGGTATGTTGACTGTGGAATCAACAGCCAATGCACGGTAAAGAGCGGCACAGACATGTGATAGCTGATCCAGGACAAATTGTGTCAATATAGAATAAATTGATCAAAATTTTAACAAATCTACACTGGCAGTGAACTTACTCCATCTCAGAACTTTGCATCTTACAGTCACAGCCATCTTTAGGATACTGTCAAATAAGATCCCTGTTTTAAAAACTTCTTGTCAAAACCAAGCTACTAAAAAGAGATATGAAAGATTCCCTATTATGTGGATTTTAAACACTACCGAACTTCAAAGAATGAAAAACATTCAAATAGTATTTTCTTAATCTAAGGCAATCGTACAAAAATTAAACACCTCTATATATACATCTGGAGAATGCGTATTTGTCAACACTTTTAGCAATGTCAAAGTCAGCATGAAACCAGAAAAGTAGACTACACTTGGCTGCACAGTAAAATCAAGGATTAACACCTTTGGAAGTATTGAGTCTGCAAAATTAAGCTGCAGAGATGCCAAAACCTGCATTTTTTTAATCCTAATTTATTGTTAAAGAAACACAATGTAAAAAAAAAAAAGCATGTGATGAGAAATATAGATCTAGTTTATGTCCAAAATGTCCAAACAAATGCTGAAAAACAAGAGTACTACTGTAGATGCAAGTATTATGCTTTATTTCAAGTAAAGCAGATGCCTGAAGACAAGTATTTACCCATTCCTTCTGTCGAGAACCCTAATGAAATGAAGTTTCTGGTATTCTATAGCATTCAAGTACAGGTCTGACTAGAATCTTTCATTTTAAATTCCAGGTCACTGCCACAAAACACAACTGACGTACAAAAAGCAAACCGGTTTCTTTTATTCCAAAACCCTGAAGAGAATCTACCTATAAAAGCCTTTTAGCACTGGCTCTTCTGATGGTAACGCTGTTTTACCTGCGATTATGTTGAATTAATTGGGTTCACATGGTAAAAAGGTAGAAACCTGACTGTATGGCACAAAGCAGATTACCTACATAATATCGTCTAATAGTTTGATTGTTGACAACTTTATACATCAAATAACTGGGGGGGGGGGGGGCCGGGGGGGGGGGAGCA